TTTTTTAATTTGCAGCGCATTTTCATTTTGTTTCTGCTTTTTCTTTTGCGTGTTTTTTTAATTTGCTGCACATTTTCATTTTGTTTCTGCTTTTTCTTTTGTGTGTGTTTTGTCTCTAGGGGCCACCGTATAAATAAGTATCAAAGACGCAAAAAGTTGGGGTTAAACTTCACACACAATTTCATATGAAACTATATCACCATGCCAAAACACTGGAGGATGAATAAGTCATTTTGTAAGTTATTTGTTTATTATTGGGGGGATTAATTGCGTTCAAAACAGGACACAGCTTTTTGCTTATATTTTATAAGTAGAGTGTTATTTTCCACAGAATAAAAAATTATGTAACGTCATCCTGCTAATAAGCGCTGGAAGGTTTCACAACCAGCACCGGTGATATTAGACAAAAATACACTGGGTAGTAATCAAATTTTCCAATGCAGAAATATGGGAGACACAAGAAAAAAATATTTTTAAAACAACAAAAAATGGATTAAATGTAAATAAAGCACATAATTCCATCCACTCAATTTTTGCTCTGCTGCATCTCGTTTTCTGCACTTCCATGTTAGTGCCAGTGCTTGTGGTCAACCAATCAGCGAGCTATCGCTGCAAGTGCCTCTCCAGTAGTTCGTGTCCAAACGAAAAGTATGTGGTTTGGAATAGGTACTAAAAAAGGGTTCTGGAACTGCCTTTGAGGAACTACAATCGGGTTGAGTTCTTGTGGTGTAATCACAAAATTCCCTGATTCAAGAAAAAAGTTCCGGTTCCAGAAAAAAGCTCTGATGGTGTGAAACCACGTAATAACCACCAGAACCCATCCCCAAGGAACCATCCCCAAGGAACCATCCCCAAGCTGTCAACTAGGCATAAGTTGTATTGGAGCAAGACTAGCTGGTCTAACTAGTCAAAATAGCTTTATTTCTGTATACTTTCATACACAATTATATAAAGGGATTACTACTACAGGGAGCTTACACATTACCCAGAGCATATGCTGCATTCCATTTACCTCAGAGGTCGGAAGTCATAGCTGGGAATGACGTCACACCCCTGTTATCCGTGTTCCAGCATAGCAAGTCGGAAAGCCATTTAGTAATATTAGGGATCCATTTCAAAAAGCAAGATTTCTTGCTTAACCGGATAAGCCGTCAGATTTATATTTACCCTAGTTTAAATGGCCTTTACCTTCGTCCACTTACATTTAGCTCAGATTACCTTAAAGCTATCCGGCTCAGCAGGAAATCCTGCTTTCTGAAACAGGCCCCAGTTCTAGCCTAGTTAATTGTCAGCAATATCAATTGATGACAACAAATTGCACAGTATTTTGTGCATAAAAACACCATGTCCACAGACAGCGGTTGGACAATACTGTGTGTACGACCAATTGAATGAACCACAAATGGAAGGCAGCACTATATTCAGCACAGAGACTCTCTACGGGGGGGGTGGGCTTCTCACCTTTTCAAGCTGCTCAGCAGCAGTTGTGTACTTCTTCTCATGCAAGGCTCTGTGGTACTGCTCCATGGCTTCATCAAACTAAACCAGCAACACAGACACGCACACGGTCAGCCAACCGTCCATCGGGATTTAAGTGGAGCATTAATCAATTACAATTTATTTATTTAGCAGAGAATTATCCAAAGCAACATATATTTTTGAGAAAGCCCATCTTTGAAGCCATTGATGGTTAAGGGCCTAGCTTCAGGGCCGGAACAAGGCAGCCGGACAGACGAATGCTTCCACACCTCCTGCAAGTATCTGAGCACGGCGATCACAGTGGTATTCTTCTCCAGCTGCTGCTTCAGTTCTGCATACTCCACAGCAGCAACATGGAGGTTCTGTTGTACCTGGGGGGTGGGCGGGGTGGGATAAGGTGGCGTTATTTAGAACAGCGTTTCTCAAACTGATCCTTGGGGACCCCCATACAGTCTACGTTTTTGGTCCTTCCCAGATCGAAATGTGGACTGTCTGGCAGGGAACCGGGAGACAGCAAGAACCCGGAGGATCTAGGGGTGCCTGAGGACCAGGTTGGGCAACACTGATTTACACCAGTCTAACCATCAAAATCTCTAGATTTCTTTTCGTGAAATAACAAAGGAGTGGCCATGCATGCATGGGACCATAATTACCGCTATTATTAATTCTAATTTAAAAATAACATCTTTGGCATTATAAGTGGTGTAGCAACTTCACCTCATTTTCTATGCAGCTCTTCAGAACGTCTATATCTTTGGAGACTAAGTCCACCTGCGCCATGAGCTCCTCAGCCCCCTGCAGGCTGGGTAGGAATTCATTGTACCTCTTATTGATCATGTCACCGACCTCATCCTGTCGGGAAAAGTAAAGAGTTTGGAAAGAGTTAATCCTCGAAGATGACAGTTTAGGTTAGGAGGCTTGTCTACACCTGAGGGTGTTGTGTGTGCAACTCTATGAAAATGACTATGATCACGAAGAGGAAACAGAGACATCAAAGCTATTAATGTATGTCATCGAAGAGCCAAGGTACCGATTTCGACCACCATGGTTGGTTGACCATAAGTTTGGTTACTGCACACTTTCACTTTACTCGTGGTACTAATTAGTTCCTAGAGCAGCCGTATCTACGCAAAACTCGTCATAAGGTTCGGTTTCCACCTCTTAGTGGAATTAGTTAAGTCATACAGTGATCATAGCTTTTGATTTAAGCGAGCAATAACATCCAGTATGATCATAGGTATTTTATTTTTAAAACACAGGGCCAGTATACAGATCGCCCTGCTCTTTTCACTCCAATAACATGAGTTACTTGTTTCACACGCAATACTTGGTAATGATCAGCTGGTATGACAGACTGCTACACTTAGCGTAATGCCACTACTGCAAACATGAAAGAAATAGCAACACGGTTTTAGCTCTAAAAGAACCGCACAAGTAGGCAACGGGACCCCACAGAATTATGTAGCGTAGCACATAATCGCCCATAATAATACTGGAAGAAAACCTTCGAGCCTATAACAGATGTTAGGTTCGTCACAAATCAGCTGTAACCCGAGGGCGAACCAGAAGCAGACGGTTCCCGGACGAGGTACGCGGACAGAGCGGCTTGAAAGTGTCAACGTGGCCGGCGGGCAGCCTACCTTAGTCTCCTCCACTTTTTGGGACAATCTGCTTATTTTACAACTAAGATCTTCTTTTTCCAACTTTCCTGAGCTGGCAAGCACCTCCGTCACGAAGGAAGCCATGTTTAATGTTTAGGCGCCGCTTTCGGGCAGAAATGAATCCTTTCGTCCGCTTTCAAATCTGACAGAAAGTCAGTTACGACTTCCTTTGACCGCCGAGCCAAGGCATTGTGGGATATGTTGTTTGTGGCACACTGCTGAGGCATTGTGGGATATGTCGTTTGTTGAAGCGTTATGGAAATGTTGTTCTTTTACTACAAACCGCCACAGAAAATCCTTTTTTCCATGATGGTTTTTTTAATCGGCTCAAACAAACCGCGTGCTCATTTAATTTCAATGGGTGAACCCTTGGTAGACTTGCTGTGGAGTGTGCTGGAGTAATTATTAACGTCAGGGAATCGTTATAAGTATATTTCTGAAATAAAGTGGCAGCTTGTCCAGCAATTTATCCATAGGAACAAGGACTCGAGGGTTTTATTTGTCACATGCAAAGTATACAATGCATCTATAACCTGCAGTGAAATGCAAATTAAGTGGTCGACTGCAACATAGTAAGAATTAGTGAAAGGCAATAAGACATAAAATAACAGTATAATAAATATATATTAAATAAGGAAAACCAGACATGTGCAACATATATAGCTCCAATAAACTGCATGGTGCATGAGTAAGGAGCCAATGTTTAATTACAACTTTCAGTTAAGTGTTAAGTAGTCTGATGGCTTGAGGGTAGCCTTGGAAGTTCTCATTGAGTGACAGCAGAAGTATTTTCAGCCTGAAGAGGTAACTTCTAGGGTGGGTTTTGTTCTTGCTGATACTGGCAGCTCTGCTCCTGCATCATCTGGGGTGTACGTCCGGTAGAGAGGATAGATCAGTCTCACAGATATGTTCACTTGAACGTAACAATCTCTGTAGAGCTTTGCGGTCCAGCACAGAGCAATTACCAAAACAGAGATTCCCATGGTGTGGATACTCTCTAATGCTTCGGAGTAGAGGGCTCTAAGAATGGCTGGTGAGATCTTCAGCTGTCTAAGATGGTAAAGCCATCTTAGACAGCCAATGATTTGACCAGGTGAGGTCATCAGAGATACACACCCCCAAACTGGGACCCATTTGATTTTGAGAGGGTTGTGTGCACTAAACTACTTACTCCTAAAGTTCACCAAGATCTCCTTAGTCTTACAGGTGTTGAGTGAGAGGCAGTTAGTTGACACCATTGGTTCAGACTGTCCACCTCATCCAGGTAGGCCTTCTCGCAGTTACTGGAGATCAGACCGATCAAAACTGTGTCCTCTGAGTTTGGCCACACAGCCATGTGTGTATAGAAGTGGGCTCAGATCACAGCCTTGTTGGGCACCAATATCTTGGGTGATGGGAGCTGAAGTATGTGATTTCTCCTTCACCACCTTACATCTGCCATGTTCAAAAGTTTAGGATCCAATCACCCAGGGGTGCATTCAGACCCAGGTTCCTCAGTTTGGAGAACAGTATAAAGGGGACTATGGTATTGAAAGGTGACCCAAAATCTATGAACAGCAGTCTCACATAATTCCCCTTGCCACTATCCAAGTGAACGACAGTTGTATGGAGGACATAGGAGATGACATCATAAGTAGATCTATTAGGGCGATAGGCAAACGGAAGTGGATCAACAGAACAGAATGTGGTTGCAGTGAACAGCAAACAGTAGTAGTCTAGTGAAGTTTACAGAATTACCATTGTGTCATTTTTTTCCGAATGATTACACAGGGATTCACAAACACTCAGGTATGTACAAAGTGTATAGTACAGTATATACAAAAAGGTCTGGATTTTCAGAGTGCAGATATTTACGATCAAATTGACATCATCAGTGCCCAATGTTGATGTATCAGTCCAACTGACAAAGTGTCTAATAAAACCCAAGAGATTACTTCTAAGGTAATCATGAGAATTACATCTGAGAAGATCAGGTAGGGGAGCTGTGCGTACATCCTGAGCCAACAGCACCAGGACTTTTTCCATTCGAGTGCTGTAGCCATTTATACTTTTCCGATACAGCTACTAGTAACTGTGCATTGGCTCATGACAGCTCCATTACCTTTAAGGAAGAATTAACATATTGAATGGAGGAATGGACAGAATGAATTCAAAAGACAATAAATCACAGAAAATGGGTGAATTTTTTTATTGAAGATCATGTGTGGGATCCATTTTCAGCGATACCGAAATGGAACGAATCTACAGAAACAAAGTCATCTCCATATACATAAGATTCTCAGAATAGCCCAAAACCATGTTGTTATAGGTTTTCAAGACCCTATGCTCTTTAATTCTGTAATAGATGGAGGTAATTTTAACCTTGGAAAAGTCAAAGTCTGAAGTTTTACCCTTGATTTAGGCCAGATAAAGGGCTAAGAAATAAAAAATGCATAGGAATACAAAACAGTGCACAAAATAATACTCTCAGTGACAATCCAGCATCTATCTTCTGCTCACAGGGTTCCACCTGATGATGTCACCCTGCCCGGTGTCCCAGGTGGGCATCTTCACCTCCTCCAGCCCATCTCAGTGTAGGACCTTGTAGGACTCTATGGCAGTTTAATTGGTTTAATGTGTGTCTTTCCATGAGTCAGTGTACCTGCCGCTGAACGAAAGCCTGGTGGTGTTGGGGTCGTCCCCCATCTGGTGGTGTTGGGGTCGTCCCCCGTCGGCCCGGGAGACACGGCACACGCGCGCGTTTACGTCACAGTCACCACCGAGGTTCCGTGAATGGATTCCATCACAGCGGCCAGCCGGCTGCACAGGTCGTGCGGCACCCCGGGCAGCACCTGGGGGGGCTCTGTCAGCACCACCCTGTCCACCGAGCAGTCAAGCATCCTGGGCAGGAACTCAACCAGCTTCTCCTGCAGGGGACCTACACAGCCGGAGCAAAAGGGTGGAGTCATTCAGGGGGGGACAGCATATTTCATGCTGCTCTTTTTCACTTCCTTTCCATTAAAAAATCTCTAAACAGGTAAGGTACTATCCTCATAATAATAATAATAAAAATAATAATAATAAAAATAATAATAATCCTAACAAAAACAATAAGGTTCCATAGCACTACGTGCTTTGGACCCTTAATAATCCTAACAAAAACAATAAGGTTCCATAGCACTACGTGCTTTGGACCCTTAATAATAACACATCAATTTTCTCATCCATTGCATTTTATACTCCCATTAAAATTGCATTTTATACTCAATTTTAAACTTATTTGCACTTACCCCAAACTGTTAATGACATTAATTATGGTACCCCACATTGTCTCACTATTATTTATATCTACATGTTTATTTGATAATTAATAGCACATTTTTTTTATTCTCCACCTTTCTTTAAATTTTTTTTTCTATTTATTGTTTTGTGAAAACATCTCGGTGGCATGTTTAAATTGTATTCTCATGCCACCGGCTGCACCAAAACAAATTCCTGGTACTTTTTGTACAAGCGAATAAATGGATTTAGATTCTGACTATCATTATTATTCCATGGATTCTTCCATTGACAGTCCACTCACCATCCATATCTTGTCCCAAGTAGGAGCACCAACGGGTCCTCATCAGCTCGATGACATCCAGGTCCTCCTGGCTGACATTGTCTCGGATCATCAGGTGCATGCAGGGGATGACGGCGTCATTCATGATAGCCACGCCCTCGGACACGCCCATCTCATCACCGCTAGCGAACAGTTTAATTGCGTTGCCATTCAGCTCCTGTGCAAACAGAGACCGAGCCGGAAGAGACGCTGAGCCTTGGCGAGGGGAGAAATGCTGACGGGTAATGTGTGTTGCCTGATTTATAGAGGTGGAAAATTTAGGTCCAAAAAGTACAAATCCGGACCAAGATTTTGTTTCAACCAACCAGCTGAGTACTCTGTGACTATGACTCTTTATACTCAACTGGCTGGCTGAAACAAAATCTTGGTCCGGATTTGTATTTTCTGGACCTGAACTTTCCACCTCTGCTGATTACTGCCATAACTATTTAACAAGTTTACAGTAGGAAGTACCAGCAATTATGAGTATGGACATATTTACAAATATTGTCCTGAGATCCAGAAATTAATTTCTGTCCTCTTTAGAGGACATAATATTTTTGGTAATATTCTCATACATGCCACTCCAATAAGTCCTCTTGTGCTTAATGAGGACAATCAGGGCTTTAAGATGATATTGTGTATGGGGTGTGTGACCTTGCCAATTTCTTCCTCCAGTCAAATCTAAAATATGATCAATAAAAATTATTTTCTTCCCCACTGGATCTCAGGAGGATATATGCAGATTAACATATAAATAAACGTCAGCTGAAGTTCATTTTTAATTAGGGAAACTTGTATGGGATTCTAGCCCTGTACATAATTTGCGCATTAATTCAAGTTGACATTATGTGCGTAGTTGTAGGACTGAAAATTTTCAGTTATACCAAGCAGAAGGAATTCAGTACCATAACGATCAGGTACTAATGGAGAACTGTGCCATGCGGCAGGCGAGACACTTACTGTCAGGCATTTCCTCCTGTACAGCGTGATGAGCGTTGGGTCAACGCCCTTCCTCACGCCTTCCTTCAGCAAATCCGCGTTGTTCCGGAAGGCGTAGACCAGGTAGTTCAGCGCCTCCCTGATCCTGAAACGGGGGGGAAGGTCAGTCAGCATACAGGAACGATGGGCTGCCCCCCAAGATGGCTCCGCTCAGGTCACCTACTTGCCATTCTGGTACTGCTCTAACCCCGTCAGAAGGTGCAGAAACACATTCAGGAATGTGCTGTAGTCGTCATTCCATTTCTGCCAAAGACAGAGAGACCAAAAGTGCAAAGGTGGGTTACGGAGTAAGTAAGTGAGACAGTGAAGCAAGGCCATAAGACAGAGCCCCCACCATATACTCATCCATGTCCATATCTTCAGGTTTGATAAGACGTAGTTTGCTTCGAGCCTCTTTCATGATACTGATGGACCTGAAAAATTAGGACACCATCTGACATCGGCGACGGTTCCGGCAAAACACATTTACTGGCTTTTCTTTGCATACAAAATGCTAAAACTTTATCTAAGGGGGCATGAGTAACGTAGCAACTCAGTTACTTCTCAAGTACAAATCCTGAACAAATATACTAACTGCATGAAATACATGACCCATTATTATTGATTAATGATGAAC